ATCCAAAACTAGTCGTAACTTTTCCTTGTTACCTGCCACTGTCAACGGATTCACTACTTTCGGAATCGAATACACTTCCTGTACACAACCCTTCAAAAGAAAAGCATCTATCTCCTGTCTTACAAAATCTCCGTTGTCCCTCGCGGATTTATTGTTCCCCAAAACAATATTCTCTGGTATAGAATACAAAGGTAATTTACAACCAAAGCGGATAACATCCAATATATTTTTACAAACCCCTGTGCTCACCAATTCATGCAAAGCCTTGCGCAACATTCCTACCGGTGACCTGACCTCTGAACCTGACCTCGTACGCGACTCTAATACCGCAGTTATTGTGTTCATTGAAGCGGAACCGGTGTGGTTCCGCTACCTGTGCGTTTCTCACCCGACGCCTCACGTCAAACGGAACAAACTCATTCGTACCGTTGATTCCACACAATTACATATAAATAAATTTGTACTGATCATAGTCTGGCCTTGGGCCGCCCTGTGCTGTACACAGTCCATCCTCAAGTGACCAGGCTTTCCACAGGTAAAACACAATCCTGGTCTCCTATCCATGGTCCCGGGTAGCTTCGTCGCCAACGGACTGTGGGTGCGCTACCTGGCGTACTGAAGGGACGCTATATGGGGAATAGCGCTTTTGCCTCGTCATTCTCTGTGCCTCCACTCTCGTTTTCCATTTCTCATCCTCCGAGTCGTCAGCCAAAGCATTGGTCTCATACTCCTTCGCCACCTACCGTCCGGTCTCCGACGAATCTGCCATTTTTATAAGTCTTCACTAATCTCGTCCTTAAAGTTTTCTAACTTGCAGACAGCATCCTCTCTAGTTCCGCCAATATTTCACTTTCTGAAATGAGGCACTGACTAGTCAATGTTTCCAACTTCTTGGTGATGAAATTTTAAAACTTGTACGTTCCGTCTACGTCCGAAGCTAGAATGACACAATAACAACCACCCGTGTCCTACCCCACACGTATGCTCCAACCTCATTGGTCAATACCAAATCCCACGAATTACTCTCCCTAATACGATCTTCAAGTACCTATAGGACAAATATTACGCGCTATTCTCCGAAACGCTCGCAAAATTAATTATTGTACTGATTGGCTATCCACAAAAATAACGCATAAACGATACTGAAAATATAACAAATTTAAGGACGGACATTTTAAACATCTTAACACGTATTGATCGAAGAAAAAGATGATCTTGCTGCTAGTAAACACATATTGACTTGTGTAATTTGTTTCCGGTAACCCCTGGTTCACACCTAACATTTCCCACATTAGTTAAGCTTACTATGTTGTCGAGTCATCAGATTAATGAGATAAAGTTAAAGCGATCTCAGAACATATCGAGAAAACTCCTCTTTCCTGTGTCCCAATTTCCATATTCCACCGTCTAGGATACCATGGTTTACTTAAGATAATAATACAACTTTCATACAAAATCGCTGATTGCCATAGCAGAACCCTTAACATAGCGAACACAGTGTCTACATGTCTGTCAAAATAATGTGACAAGTGGGGAATTATACGTTTTTCTAAACCTTTACCTACTCTTTATATCTTGCCTAATAAACAAACTATAATTATTAAGCATGAAATATATTAACATTTACCTTAACGGTTAACAAATTTAAAGGATTTTTGGTCAATTATACTGATGTAATATTTATCATTACACCAGTTCTCTCACCTTGAGCAAGACTAGTCCGTGACATTACATTAAGTCACTTTGAATGAGAAACGTTATCAACAATGAAAACGATTCCCAATCATAAGGCCTTAATGGACATTGTGTTCCAGTACATTTTCTGGAAAGCATCAAACATCTCCACGCTGCGTACATTCTCCAACATGTTTCCAAAAGTTGTTGTTTTGTACAAACAATCCAAAAATAAAATAACATATTTTTACATAAATGCAGAAGATTATTGAGAAGTACACGTATATTGTATCAGCATGTTAAATTACATGTGTAATATTTATGCTTCACAAAATCGTACTATAATGATCCTAGGGCTACACAACCTTTGTACAAACACTGTGTTATTATGGAGTAAATGGTTCGTGCCCTTAGAGGGATTTGTTTTATATAACATTTTCTTTGTTTATATTAACTATTGTAACCCATGTTATACATTCTAGTACTTTTTTCTGTTGTATTTAAGACCCCGGTGACAGTCTATTTAAGTTTCATTGTCATTTTATCCCTCATATCGAAACAAAATTTGAACAAATAACTTTTTGGGTGGTGATTCTTTATGAGTACAATGTATAAGTCTCATCTTAGTATGTTACTGTTTTCCAATTTGAAATTTCAAAAGATGTTTTTATTGCCCTAGATCAAACATATACTTATAGGTGTACATAATCGTGTGTTTTGGTGCACTTTATTCTGATAATATATAAATTTAGAACAAATCTGTTTGTATAATGAACGAACGGTTATCTGACGTTCAAGTTGACAACTGCTACAATAAGATTGACCATTGTACATTTAATGACAAACTTGAATGTCAAATCGAACACAACAGAAGATAAACAGTAAAACCAAACAGGAAAGCCATCTTAATGTCAACAATTTACTCTCGATGCAGAAAACCATACAAAGTAAATATTTTACTGCGCCGTATAGTCATTTCGTCCATTAGGACTCATGAATGAATGAAAATCCATTTCTGAAGTTTCCCGAAACACATGAAGGATACAGCGACAGGTGAAAGGGCCTGTTTAACCCCTTGTGACGTTACTTATATACTGCTGGCTGCAACAGATATTTATTTTTATACTTGTATTTCTCCGGAATAAATATGTATTAATCAAATCGCTGATAATTAAATTACGCCAAACTAATATCATGGGTTTGGTAACACCACTGACTTCGATTGTGACTAGTCAATTTAAGCACATCTTCCATTCCAAATCATCACGTAGGGTATCATGTTGCACATCACAGAGCAGGCAGAAATCATTAGTTAGCAGAGTACAGTAGAAATTGCTTGATACTAAAAATAAAGGGCATTTTTTTTCAAAAAATGATTTCCCCGATTTGGGAATTGTGAAAACCATGGTTACCACATAAAAAAACGCCAGAAATGTAAAAAGGATGTTTTTTAATCCAAAATTTGACCCACGCGAGTAGTATTTCTTTCTTAAAACCTGTCTTAAATTGAATTTCACCTACTCGGTAACAGAAACACTCACGTTTTAGCATAGGTCGTTCAACTGGATTTTTTTTACAATATTTAAACATGTGCTGAGTGCAAAAATAGACTTCATGAAAAGCTAGCTTTTGTTGTGTAGACACAGATTTGTAAATGGCCAAAAATGTAGTCTCAAACCAAATTCGTTTTTTTTTTTAAATGTGAAGCCCACATAGTCTACTTCATCATGTATATGCCAATTTTAGTGCTGATTTGTTTTTTAAACTTTGATACATGTAATATTACATGGGTTATTCATTGTACATAAATATCAGCCATGACCACCGTACGCTACTGTACACTGCTACCTTAGTACAAAAGGCAATGGGGTCAAATCAGACAAAACCAAACTGTTTTACGGTAAGTGTTTAATGTGGGGCCTCATACAAAGTGAAGACCTGTGGCGTCTGCGCCAGAGAGTACCCGTTACAAAGCGTTCACAAGAACAACGGTAAGACAAGTGAGAGGTAATTATATGTGATTTACTGCTTTAACATGTTTGTAAACAGGTACCCGCTGTATTACCTCAGTGACGTAGGTTCCATTACAATTGAACACTTGAGTAATATGCCATCTTATTTATAAGCTTAATGCAAAAATGTTATTGATCCATATACAGCAATGGCCATTGATTTGGGCAATGTTATTACTGAATACCTCAAGGTGAGAAATGTCTCTCAAATTAAGTTTTGTATTAAACGAGGCGTGAACAAGTGTTTACCTCGAACTAATAATATAGTTTAGATATGCTCTTTTTAAAAGCAGACATATATCAACACTGTTCGTATTGATGCTCCTGTATATTTTTTTAAATAAAATTGAATGAATGGTCCACATATTGTTGATTTAAACACCCATACACATTCCTCATCAATGTACACATAATGAATACGTGAAATATCTCCTTTTTATTTCAATTAAAACCCAACTTTAACAGTAAGAAATAAATTCGGCTGGCAGCGAGTAAGCAAAAGTATATGTTGAAAGCTTACCTCAATACACTCACGGTGGCCAATCGTTAAGTAGACTCATGTCAGATATCAGCTTAATAAGATGATAAATTCTGATAAAGCAAAACATTTCCAGATGTTTAATTTATGAACACGTTGATATTTATTGATTGATCACATACATTTTAACTTGAAATGTAAGTGTAAATGTAAATGTAACAAGTAATCCTCGCATCCGCTCAGAAGTAACGTTTACTGGTAATTCAATAACGTATACCCTCCCCAGTGATATATGAATTTCCAGGTGAACAACTAGCTTTCGAATAGTTATTTCTCGCGTAAAGGAACATGACTCCGCATAAATCTATCAATCTCAAAACTACATTCCATCGCTTACAATTATCTTGTATACTGATTATTGTTGTAAAAGAAATATAGAGTAATTTAAGATGAAGACATAGATACCAGTGTACCTCCATTACTTTACTGTAATTGTATTGTTTTGTTTTAGTTCTCAGCTTCAACAAAACGTTACAAGGCAAGGATATGTATAGGAGAGAAACAGTACTCTTTAAATAGTTTAATGATATACATAAAAAAAAATATATAATCATTGATTTTAATGTGGCTGAAGATTTGAGTGTAACTAATTCGAGATATTCTGGTTATATTAATGGTATATAACATATTTTCCCAGTGTTATCATCATATCGCTGATATTTAAATCAAACCAAAATGGTTGTAAAATACGCGTATTATGTACAACGACACATAGGTAAAATTTCAGGTAACCACATTTTGTTTGTAAAAGTCCCAGGTTACGTAACCAAATTAGAATGGGTTTGTTTACACACCGTGCAGGACCAATCTAATTAGATCGCGCGCAGGACATACATTTCGTTGATATCAAGCTCCACTGAAGTGAAGGGGGAAGTTAACGGCTACCCGGAACGTAAGTAGTGTTTTATTGAGCAGTGGTATGGACATACAATATATAAACGTCATACAGTGATGTTATTAGACACGATATTGTCTCACAAACTAGATATAACAGAGGTTGATGCTACTATGTTTTATACTTATAGTTTACATTCAATGATAATATCAATATTACGTACGAGTTTTGTAATCTGTCAATATCTGCTTATCAAACTGTAGTAAAGTACACAATTATCTGAACACATAAAGATGTTTTGAACATTTATATTTCAAACATTGCTTCAATATTCAGCCGTAAGTCACATAAAATGACACATGGCATTGTTCTAAGTTAAACGTATGTTTATTTCTACATAAATAGCATGCTTCTATGTACTATGTAAATAATCTTTGGACATAATAGAGCCATTTTGTATGCAGGTAAATCGATTTCTGCAGCTTAGATATATTAACATAGCTATAACTGTATTCACATAATATAAGACTGCTCGTAGCTTACAGAATACTCCATTGTACATACAGGTATGTCTCATTCAGATTCAGATTGTTTTATTCCTTGTGTAACACACACATCGGAGAGAAGACGTGTATGTAGTTAATCAGCAAATGTAGATGTTGTTATGAAATATATATTTGCTATTTCAGAGTCGTGAAGGACTGTATTGTGCTGAATTTGAAAGGCTGATTTACTCATCAGATGGATACCATATACATATGTCGCCTCTCTCCCAAAAAGAAACGAAAGATTTGATTTATCTATAAAATCAAGTAACTCGATCTGAAAAGATGGAGGATCCAATAGATGAAGAACACGTTTAATTTAGATTAGTGAATGTAAACTTTTACTGTTTGAGATGTGAGGAATACCTTTGTGAAATATGCAACTCCGTACACAATAGAACAGCGCAAACGAGAAACTGTACCGTGATACCAAAATATTTGATTGACATTAAAGTAGAAAGTGAAACACATGATTCGGAAAGAAACTGCCCAAATCACAACAGTGAGACTATCAAGTTTGTGTGCCGAACGTGTGAAAATAACGAGGGTTGTTTTCAATGTGTTTTAGAATATCACGTGACGCCCGGACAACACAGCGTTGAACTGATCGGAAATACAGCTAAGGACAAAGCAACAGACCGTCAGCAGTACCAAGTTAAACTGTTAGAAAACATTCTGAAATCTAAACTCCGACATTGTGCAAAACGTTCCAATGAAACAAGTAGTGAAATAAAGCAAAATCAGAGTTTAAAAGAGGACTTAGTTTCCGCAATCCAAGCTCGCGAAAATGAACTTGAACAGGAATTGAAGAAAGCAAAACAGAAAATGTTACAACGAGTTGAAAAACTATTTTCGGATAGCCAAACCCACCTGGAACACCACCGTGAACAATGCTCTGAATTTCGCCGTGCGTTGGATGACAGCAAAGAACAACTTAGAAAGAAACAGGAATTAGCCAGACAAACTGACCTCCAGTCCTTCACACAACTAACCATTGATACATTCAAGAAAGCCGTGCTGCCGGAGATGCCTTGTCACAGCTTCAGCTTCTCATTGATTGCCAAGGGAACCGTCGACGATATATTTGGAAGCCTCACAAACGAAATTGTCGAACCCCAAACACCAGTACGGGACATGAAGGGAAATCTCTGTAGCGTAGAGATTTTAGGGATTGTACATACTCAAAACGCTCGAGGTATTGGGAAAATATGTCCTGTGTCAAACCAAATGGCTTGGATTGCACACTCGAACAAAACTAGCGTAGAGAAAATAGACAAAACAGGAAAAACGGTCAGGGTGTTAAAAACTCCATTTCCGGTGCAAGATATTGCTGTTAATAGCGACAAGGATATGGTTTTGACAGCAAAATCTACAGTCTGGAGTAAAGATCTCCTGAATGATACGTCAGATTTCAGAGACATCAAGAACTTTGCGCCTTTCAGCGTGAAGGGCGTTGCCCTGGTGACTGGACAGGACATTTTGGTTTGTGCCCAGTTAAAAGATGACCCTGGAAAAGTTGTGAGGTTGTCATGGAAAGGGGAAATACTTATGGAGATACTTGACGTCACAGAAGATCCGGTGTTATGCGATCCCTATAGGATTGCCCATAACATTTTCAATGACGACATCGCTATCGCTTGCAGAGATAATGTTCTCGTTTACACAAAAATAGGAGAACTAAAATCAAAATGGACTGGGCTTCGTTCAGATTTTAACCCTCATGGCATCACATATGACAATCACGGACACCTCTTAGCTTCTTGCTATAAACACAACCTCGTGTACCTGCTGGGAGAGGACGGACAGGATGGACACATTCTACTTGATGGACAGAAACACACCATGGTAACCAATCCTTGGGCTGTGGCTGTGGACGTGTCAGGGAAACTTTGGCTGACTGGAAACCAACGTGTCATCTATATCATCAAATATTACCAATAGCCAAACGTGTTAGGTGTTTGTAGTATTACCAAGTGTATCTAAGTTATCAAATATGTCACAAATTACCGATAGTCCAACGTGTGTGGTGTTTGTAATATTTCCAAGTGTTATTATTATTAAATACTAGTAGCATAGTGCATGATTGTACGTATTAAGTGGACTGCATATTATAGATGCAAATTATAGTTGAGATTTCAAGACACATATTGGCTTCATATAATGAGTTGATATGTTATTTGTACCGACGTTATTTACTTTGGTGTGTTACCTATTGTTAGAATAACACTAATACACAGGTTGGCATAGGCGTCCGCTGTCTTTAAAAACAGATCGGTTGTAATTTTATGAGAATAAAGTCTATAAAAGGAAAAGACGGCTAACGTAACCCTGTCTTATAGCAATTCGAAGGTTGTAAAGTATTCAACTGGATTCAAAATATTTATTTTCAAAATTCTTATCAGGAGCTTATAAACATAAAAACATATTAGTGAAGTTTTCCCAAAATATTGTTTCGATCTTAGGATTGAAAACGTTGTCCTTAAGGTATACCAAAGCTAAGGTTGCATATGTAGGGGAAGTTTTAGTACTCAACGCTATAACCTTAGTCTGTTAAACATACTCTTGATAGGAACCTTTATCGAGCTGTCAAGCTTCATGGAATGAAGGGGGGTAACTCCCAGATAAATTGTTAACATATTGTTACAAACGATCCCACACAAATAAAGAGTAAACTACACTGAGGGTCAAATAAATTTAAGGACGAACATTTTTAATATTTGAACATACATTGTTTGAAGAAAACCGATAGTTTCTGTTGCTAGTAAACATGTATTGACTTGTATTGACTTGAGTGTAAACATGTATTGACTTGAGTGTAAACATGTATTGACTTGAGTGTAAACATGTATTGACTTGAATGTAAACATGTATTGACTTGAGTGTAAACATGTATTGACTTGAAGTGTGTAAACATGTATTGACTTGAAGTGTGTAAACATGTATTGACTTGAAGAGTGTAAACATGTATTGACTTGAGTGTAAACATGTTTTTTTTACGGTAGTTCCTGATTCACACCTATCGACTAACATCTCCCTACGATGTGAAAGCTCTCTGGTCATCAGGTTAATGATATGACATATAGTTTAAGGGCTCTAGGGACATATCGACACAACTCCTTTCTTGTTTCCCCATTCCCATATATCACCGTCTGAAATACCATGTTTTACTATAGATAAGAATAAAACGTCAACCTTTTAAAACAAAATCGCTGATTCCCATAGCTGATATCTTTACAAATCCGAAACAGTGTCTACATGTCTGTCAAAATTATGTGCTAAGTATGGAATTATGTGTTTGTCTAAACCCATACCTAAACTGTTTATGCCTAAACCCTGTATATCTTACCTAAACCCTGTATATATTACCTAAACCCTGTATATCTTACCTAAACCCTGTATATCTTACCTTAACCCAGTATATTTTACATAAACCCTTTATATCTTACCTAAACTCTGTATATCTTACCTTATCCCTGTATATCTTACCTGATCCCTGTATATCTTACCTAAACCCAGTATATTTTCCCTAAACCCTTTATATCTTACCTAACCCCTGTATATCTTACCTTATCCCTGTATATCTTACCTGATCCCTGTATATCTTACCTTAACCCTGTATATCTTACCTAAACCCAGTATATTTTCCCTAAACCCTTTATATCTTACCTAAACTCTGTATATCTTACCTTATCCCTGTATATCTTACCTGATCCCTGTATATCTTACCTAAACCCAGTATATTTTACCTAAACCCTTTATATCTTACCTGAACCCTGTATATCTTACCTAAACACTGTATATCTTACCTAAACCCTGTATATCTTACCAAAACTCTGTATATCTTACCTAAACCCTGTATATATTACCTAAACCCTGTATATCTTACCTTATCCCTGTATATCTTACCTGAACCATGTATATCTTACCTTAACCCTGTATATCTTCCTTATACCCTGTATATCTTACCTAAACCCTGGATATCTTACCTAAACCCTGTATATCTTCCCTAATCCCTTTATATCTTACCTAAACCCTGTATATATTACCTAAACCCTGTATATCTTACCAAAACTCTGTATATCTTACCTAAACCCTGTATATCTTCCCTAATCCCTTTATATCTTACCTAAACCCTGTATGTCTTACCTACATGTAAACCCTATATATCTTACCTGAACCCTGTATATCTTACCTAAACCCAGTATATTTTCCCTAAACCCTTTATATCTTACCTAAACCCGGTATATCTTACCTTATCCCTGTATATCTTACCTGAACCATGTATATCTTACCTTAACCCTGTATATCTTACCTAAACCCTTCATATCCTACCTGAACCCTGTATATCTTACCTGAACCCTGTATATCTTACCTTAACCCAGTATATTTTACCTAAACCCTTCATATCTTACCTGAACCCTGTATATCTTACCTGAACCCTGTATATCTTACCTAAACCCTTCATATCTTACCTGAACCCTGTATATCTTACCTAAACACTGTATATCTTACCTAAACCCTGTATATCTTCCCTAATCCCTTTATATCTTACCTAAACCCTGTATATATTACCTAAACCCTGTATATCTTACCAAAACTCTGTATATCTTACCTAAACCCTGTATATCTTACCTTATCCCTTAATATCTTACCTGAACCCTGTATATCTTACCTAAACCCTGTATATCTTACCTAAACCCTGTATATCTTACCTAATCCCTTTATATCTTACCTAAACCCTGTATATCTTACCAAAACTCTGTATATCTTACCTAAACCCTGTATATCTTACCTTAACCCAGTATATTTTACCTAAACCCTTTATATCTTACCTAAACCCTGTATATCTTACCTACATGTAAACCCTGTATATCTTACCTGAACCCTGTATATCTTACCTGAACCCTGTATATCTTACCTTAACCCAGTATATCTTACCTAAACCCTGTATATCTTACCTATACCCTGTATATCTTACTTTAACCCTGTATATCTTACCTTATCCCTGTATATCTTACCTGAACCCTGTATATCTTACCTGAACCCTGTATATCTTACCTTAACCCTGTATATCTTACCTATACCCTGTATATCTTACCTTATAAACACAGAATAATTATTAAGCATGAAACATATTAATATTCACTTTAACGGTTACCAAATAAAAGGGACCTTTGTTAATGTATCATGATGTAATATTCATCCTTACGATATTTCTCTCGCCCTGATCTCATCTTCAGTAATGACTAGGACATGACCTTAAAACATGTCACTTTGAATGAGAAACGCGATCGACAATAAAAACAACTTTCACGAGAATAGACCTAAATGGACATTGTGATAAAGATACTGTTCTGAGTCGAACACCTGCAGGCTGCAAACATTCTCCAATACGATTCAACTAGATCCAGACAATCCAAATTGTAATTACATAACTGCAATAAAACGAAATACGTGTATATTGCATGGACATGTTAAATTATAAGCAGCCTAACGATAATGATCCAAGGGCTCAAACTATTTCAAAAATCTTTGAACAAACACTGTGTTACATTGGATCAATGGTTCATACCTTTAGACTATTTTTGTTTTAATAATTATTTTGTTTAGTTTTATTTATGTTTGTTACGTAATTAATGACAATTTTACTTGTTTCTGTTAGCTATGTGTGTATTGTGACCCATGTTAAAAGTTAAAATGTTGTGACGTCATCCTTTGTTCTTGTTGTACATTATATAGTAGAATAATGTACAAGCTACTGGCCTTATAATGGACAGTTACAGGTAACAAAGATACCTTTTAGCGCCAGCAAATGTTAGAAGAAATTCCACAATTTACTTATGCACTAAACATACTTGTATGTACCACGGACTTAGATAGCATCACATTGTAATTGTATTCCGTGTATTTACTCATTAAATATTATTCATCGAAACCAATAGGCGTTTCCTGATGTTCCACGAATATAGTGGTTATCACCTGGAACTACCACCAGGGTTGGATTAGGTGTTGTTTTGGGTTGTGATTGCTTTACAGTTTGCTTCAGTAATTACTCTATGCAGTCCGAGTGTCATTTTAGTAAACTTTCACTGTCGTTCTATGTCCGTTGTGCTGTATTAATCAACATTTCATTACATTAAAAATCTTCAAAAGTGATGCTGAAAGCAGTATCGTCATCTCCTGATAATTAAATGTTCTCACTTATAATGACCAAGCTGGACTGTCTGATAAATGCTCAGGATTCACTATATCAGTATTTGGACATGAAAATCATGTGCATTTCCAAATATAGTTATCCTACCTGTAACTGTCCAATAAGTTTACAATAAACGTTCATGCATCATTGACCATGGTTCATGTTGCATCCACACAGATGCCTCATTGTTGTCAACTGCATTACTGGTACATTATTCAGTAGCTGTCCATTCTTAACACAAAAATGGGTCCAATATTTATACAAAGGGGCACTTTGTTTTTTAGAAGGAGAAAAGCCCGAGACTGTCCATTCTGTGAAGCTCTTCAGTCAGTGTTCTGTTGTCTTGTCGACCCCGGTGGCAGTATATTTCAGCTTGACATTTTACTGTTTTCCAATTATGATTATAAAACAATAATTTATTTCTCTAGTTGACATATTTTCATGTAGGTTAAAAAAATCACTGTATTTTTGATAGACTTTATCCTGAAAATATTTACAATTTGAACAGACTCTTCTGAATAATGAACGACGGCTATCAAGGCTCGTCAACGAATACGATAGATGTGTTTATAAAGACATTCTTAAATGTCCAATCGAACACCACAGAAGATAAACAGTAAACCAAAAGAGGAAAGCAAGTTAAAAATCCTACAGAAGTAATGATTAATCACCCGAACGTATGTACCCCGCGAAAACGACATTCCTTATTCATAGTGTAAGGAACGACAACTGTTGGTAGCGATTG